CTTAAATTCATGTCACATCAAAGCTCGCGAAATTATCTCTTCCATCTTTTTCTGCTTAATTCCATTTAGTAACGTGTTTCCAGAAATTCGACATTTAATCTTTTATTTATCTTGCAATGCTTTAGTCCGAAATTTTTATATAATCTTAAGTAAATGGTCTCCGATGGACAACTATAGTAGCTTCGCATTCCTTTTTATCCTATGCACATTGCCATCAATTTCTCTCTGGATGCTGTGATATAGATCACCCTCGAAAACATGTTCTCGCCATAAGAAAAGCCTGTATAATTGCCCTACAGTAATTCTCACTCGCATACAATTTCCCCTTAATAATAGTGCCCAGATCCATCCTGAATTATTTTGACTTGAGCTTATAAGGAAGGCTATCGGAGATGAAATATTTAACGTTGCAAATTACACAAAACGCGATGCTATCTCGTTAATTTCGACTTTGAGCGCAGTGAAGCTTTTTCTGAGCAATTTAGTGCATATGTAGAATTGTTAATGTATACACGCAATAGGTTCATGGGGCCTAAATTATTAGTGCTAACTTTATTTACTAAACTCTTTTGGTGTAGATAATTTAATTCCATTGCTTTCTTGTTTGATCATATGGATACAATGAAGACTTAATTTATTTTATTTTAACCTTATCTTAATTTAGCCTTATTTTCAATCGTCCTTATATCTGTTTAAACGGGTATTCCTGTCTTATTCGGGAATTTGTAGTGTGATAGTTGAACAAATTCCTGTATCTCATATCAAAATAAAAATAATTGAATAGAGCTTTTGATCCCTTTTTGTTTATAACGATTTATCATAATCTTGTTCATTCAATTGCGCTACAGTCGATGGACCGAAATTTAATAGCTTATGCATTTGAATTCATTTCCCTACATTTATGGATATACTTATACCATTAGTTGTCGTATTCATTATTACCCCTATTAAAATGGTAGTATCATCACTAATACCATTTTGCCAAAGCATTCTAATCGATGAACACAGATGCAACCAGACTTTTCACATCAGAATTTAGCGTTATGCCAATTTCTGCTTATCTTACCCTTTCGCTCAGCCTAGAACAACTGGCAGACATTTCAAGTTGGACGCCTCATCCATCGGTTTTTGACTCATAGATAAGGAAGAAGTTTAAGATTTCAAGTAACAGTCGGCTAGTCATCCGGAAGCATGGCCAGCCCTGTTACTAGTAGCGCATCTGTTTCCCCTTCATCATCTGGCTCTGGCAAGTTGACCGACCAGGAATTGGTGCAGTGGCGTGCGTCAAGCGAGGCTGGAGAGAAGTTCAGCCAACTCTTCTACCGTGCCATGGACAGACCACGGCGCACCGATATACCGGGCTTCTTGATGCCTGCGATTCAGCTTCTCTGGAATGGCAATCGATTGGAAGGCAAACAGCAAGTGCTTGAGTTCTACCAGACTCGGTTACCGGCCAGCGCTACGACAGTGAACTGTGTCTCAGCTCAGCCAGTACAAAGTAATATCGCATCTTTGCACAGACGGTTCATCACATTTTTGCTATTATAGGGCTTAATGAACTGTTTAGTTTTCAATGAGTTCAAATTTACAGTATCTAGCCTGATAAATGCTCAATGATACTGATTACTAGAAGCTGTTTGACCTTGTTTTCGCAACTTGGTCATATTGGCAGGATGACTTAGAGGAACGCACCTTGCCCGGAGTCCATATGATTCATGATACTTTCCACAGTCGGACCGTGGACTTGGTAGATTCCCTGACTTTTCGCAGGCATTGTAGTCGGTATCGTCAGTGCGCATTGTCATTCCTAGCACTACACTATAACGCGTCAT